ACGACGGCGACGACGGCGACGGCGACGGCGACGGCGACGGCGACGGCGACGACGACGACGACGACGGTGGCGGCTACGACGACGCGTACCAAGGCGGCGGCGACGACGACGACGACGACGACGACGACGACGACGACGACGACGACGACGGTGGCGACGACGACGACGACGACGACGGTGGCGGCGGCGACGACGACGACGACGGAGGCGGCGGCGACGACGACGACGGTAGCGGCGACGACGACGACGATGGCGGCGGCGACGACGATGATGGTGGCGGCGACGACGACGACGGTTGCGGCGGCGGTGATGACGACCTCGACGACGGTGGCGGCGGCGGCGGCGGCTGCAACGACGACGGTCGCGTTTGCATCACCCGGCATGGGACTGCGGGAGGATGACATCGACCTCAACGATGACGACGGCTGCGGCGGCGGCAACGACGACGGCTGTCGCGACGACAGCAATTCGCTGGGGAGGAAGGGTGTCCTAGAGAAATTGGCCCCGAGGTTTCTGTTCTGCTGCGTTCGGGTCCGCGGGCCAGGAGGAGGCGGAGGAGGACGACGACGACGACGACGACGACGACACGCACGCCAAAAGCATTCAGAATACGCCCCTCTCGTCTTCCCCTCCACGCTCCCCCCCTTCTTTTCTTCAGACCCCTCCTTCATGCGCGTCGGCTGGAAACTCGCAATCCAGGCGCATATCGCATGTAGCACCACTCGCATGCACCACCCCATCATCTCTACAGTCGGACCGATTTATAGGATCGAGGTCTGTCCGGGGAGGGTACCCTAATGTTGTTCGTGTTTGTTTGGTGTTCTTGTGCATCCTGGGGGGAGGGGGGGCCCTCGAATGCTCTTCACTTTGGCCAGCTGAGGCGCTCATTTTCCCATATGCTTGAAGGATGCTTTGCCGTCTCAAGTCCGACTGTTCGCATCCGCGGGCCCGAGATCCTGGGGGAAGATCGCCCCGAGTGACAAGAGGTAAGTCGGGCGTGTCCCTCTACAGGATGACCATTCACAAATAGTGAAACACAGTATGGGGACGAGTTGTTCTTTCGTATGTCTTGACCGTTTTGTTTGTAAACATGTTCCGAGATTTCTTTGCGGATCGCCCACAATCACATGCCCGACCCAAGACAGGGGCAGCCGATCGGAGGCTTTGGGCTGCGGGCCGTCTCCCCGCGGCGGCCGCGGCAGGTGGCGGCGCCGCCGCCCCGGGCGACGGCGGGGAGGCCGGCGCCGCCGCCAAGGAGGAGGGCAAGGCGGCCGAGGGAGCCGACGCGCCAACCGCCGCGGACGGGAAGGATCGGGCCGAGCAGAAGGGGGGGAAACAATCGCCCGCGTGTCGGCCGCGCGCGCGGCTAGGCTTGGGCGCAGTGGCGCCTCTGTTGCGGCTCAGGGAGCGGATCCCTCAGGCCGCCGCAAATAGCGGAAATAGCAGAGGGAAACAATTGCTGAACACTCCCCCCCCCCCAAAACTCAACGTTGGCACGCGCGGGGGAGGCTGCGGTCGAAGTGCATCTCATCACACCCACCGCCAACTTTGCAAATTGGGGGGAGGGGGAAGCGTTGACGGATGAATTGGCATGTTTCCTGTCGGGAAAGGGGGGGGTACGAAATCTGCTGCATGCAGCTGGTTTCGGCCCCGCCGCCGGGCCCATTCTTCGATGCATGGGCGCCTCCCGGCGCCGGGAGGCGCCGGGAAGATTAGCTACGCGTGAGCTGATTCACAAACGTCTCCTTTGCTATCCGCCCCTTTCGCCTGGCCCGAAAGGACGAGGGAGGCGACGTGGCCATCATCGACTGCAAGACAAAGAAGGTCTTGGTTGACAGGCGCAACCTCTTGGTGGGTCTGTTTTCCACCACCACCATAAGTTGGAGCGGGAAGAGGAGGAGAAGGAGGAGGAGGATGAGGTGGAGGAGGACCCCGTCCCCCTCAAAGTGATGGTGGTGGTGGTGGTGGTGGTGGAAAACAGGCCCATCAACCTCTCATGGCGCCAACATCGCAGAGCGGATGTCGTTCGGAAAACGACAGGATGGGCCCAGAGCGTCCTGGATAATGTCGTTCCGAAATCCGAGGTGCATTTATCTTGCGGGTTTTCTTTTTGGCAAGGAATGAAGACGAAACACCACTCCACGCGACAGTCACGCTTCGTTTTTCCCTCGCCGTTTCTCTGCTTCTTTGCATCGACAGCAATCCACGCAAAACATCCGATGCAGCACGTCTGCAAGGCTGGTGCAGGGAAGCCTCGTCTCCGGGCGTCCTTCGGGCTCGCGGGCGGCTCTTCCGGCCTCGGGGGGGCTCTCCAGCAACTGCGCCCCAGCGAGGGCGTGCCGGGGTCGCCGGCGTCGTCCCGGGCGGCCGCCATAAGGATGCGAGCGAGGACCCGGAAGCCAGACCTCCTCCTCCTCCTCCTCCTCCTCCTCCTCCTCCCCCTCCCCCTGGGGTGCTTCTAAAGAGCCTTCCCGCCTCCCCCGTTGCCCCGCCCCCCTCTGCGCGTGGCCGACCAACAACTCGGGAAGCCAGACCTCCCCGCGTCGTGAACCAATTGCGACGCGAGGTGTTTGTCAAGTTACTGAGGCGTACCTTTTGCATGCCCCTTCGCCTTCGGCACCGCCCGATCCCGGGGCTTTGCCCTCTCTCGGCCTGGACGTGAGGCCCCTCCTTATGTCTCCCTCCCTCTGTCAATTAAAGCTGTGCGCGGCCCGCTTAGCTTCTACTGGAAGAGGTGCGCTCTCGACCCGCGAATCAAACAAGTGTTTGTCAAGTTACTGCCGTTGGTGTCCTTGCCTGGCTCCGAGGCCGTCAAAATAGCGTCTCAGGATGAGAAGCCCACCATGTGGAAGGGGGGTCGAGACTTCCCGAGTCAGCGTGAACAAACACACTGTCGTCTGGTGTCTAGGTCCTCCGCCTCCCCCTCCAAGTTTCACCGTGTGTGTGTGTGTGTGTGTGTGCTACCTTTGGCCCCGGGGTCCAAGGACCGGTTGTGAGCAATGCTGGGCAGGGGGCAGTGAGAGGGGGTGTGCCAGTGTGTTTTCTAAGATGGTGCGTGCGGGGCGTTCTCGAAGAGGCTGGCCAGAGGCTTCTAGGAAGGTTTCTCAGGAGGCAGGAGGGCTGTTAGGAGCCATGACGCTATCTTCGAAGGCTTCCCTCCTTGGGTATTTGTTGCACAACCGCGGTCGTCATTTGTGGCATCGGTTTCGTCTTGACGTGTTACCAGTGTCAGCTCGCAAAGTTGATCATTGCATCTGCAACTGGAAGACAGTTCATATGACTGGTTATACATATAATTCAGTTTTTGACCAGAGCCGATTCCTACACGTATCATGTTGGCAGAGAGGGTGTCTCCCAATGTCGGGCTGTATGGATGCGCGCTTCAAAATGGTGCGCAATGGCATTGCGGATTAGGATTGTTCTGCACACCCGCACAGGCACGCACCAGACAAGGATAGCCAGCTGCACGTCCACTCCTTCTGCTCCGCTGGCTGTTAGCGCCCTGCCCACGTTCGAAAGTCTAACCAACGCAATGCAGCCGTTACTGTCACTTGGTGCTCAGGTTGTGCACCGAGTTGGCATGAGCTTGCAGCCTTTTTCCTGGAAAGCGCGCGGGCCGAAGGTTCTTTTTTAGAGGCTTACCCCCGGAATCGACGGCTGTTGGGCCGGCGGAATTACATTCCCAGGCCGAAAGTTTTTCCCTCTTGGATTAAAAATATGAGAACATCAATGGATCCAATTGGATCCCTTTTCGGGTGTGGGAGAGTTTCGTGGATCCTATTTCTGCGCTGCGCGGATCCAATTGCCTGTGTGTGGAAGAACGATGGATCCATTCATTTCCCGGGAATAAATACAGAATAATGATTAACATCCGGGATCCAGGGGAAATGGGATCCGCGGAGCACCGCAAGTAAAGCATCATGCTATCCACGGAGCTGTGGATCTGCAGACCAATGCTATGATTCTACGGGGGAGTGGGTCTTCCCAGGATGAAGAGGGGAAGGAGGAGGGAAGAGGCAAGAGGAGGTGGTAGGAGAACAGAAGGGATCGTCGCGTCGCTTCCGACATGTGGGGCTCAAGAGGAAAATCTTTCGGCCTGCGTAAGTATTTTGCGATAAATAACAAAGTCGCCTAGGGCCAGCGGGGTTATTTTTGAGGACGTCTCGAGCGAAACGCTTGCTGTTCAGAATGTGTTGAGGATGTCTCGAGCGAAACGCTTGTTTTGTGTTATCGATTGTCCTCTTCTGGGGACCAGAATTTACAGGATCTCTCAAGTGAAATGCTTGTTTTCACGTGCCCATGTCTTGAGGATGTCTCGTGCGAGACGCTTGGTTTCACGCCTCCAGGTTGCCCAGACAGAGGTCCAGCGCCAGGATTTGTTGAGGATGTCTCGAGCGAAACGTTTGTTTTCACGCGTCCTCGTCGCCCAGGCGGATGTCTAGCATGAGGATGTGTTGAGGAAGTCTCGATCGAGATGCTTGTTTGCACGTGTCCAGGTTGCCCAGGCGGACGTCTCACATGAAAATGTGTTGAGGGTGTCTCGAGCGAGCCACTTGTTTTCACGTGTCCAGTTCGCCCAGGCGGATGTCTAGCATGAGAATGTGTTGAGGATGTCTCGAGCGAGCCACTTATTTTCACGTGTCCAGTTCGCCCAGGCGGATGTCTAGCATGATAATGTGTTGAGGATGTGTTTAGCGAAACGCTTGTTTTCACGTGTCCAGGTCATTCAGGCGGATGTCTAGCATGAGGATTTTGACAGGATGTCTCGAGCGAAACTCTTGTCCCCTGCACGTTCTGTAGCGCGTCCCCTTGGCACGTCCCGCGGTGCGTCCCCATGGCACGTCCCCTGGCACGTCGCTTGGCGCGTCCGTGAGACGTTCCGCGGCGCGTCCTCCTGGCATGTCCCCCTGTCAATCAGCTCTGGGGCAGCTACTATGTGTTCAGGCAGCTCGAGCTTAAGATCCAGATCAGTTTGTTCAGGACTCGGATGCAAAGGAGGACTCGATCCACGACGCTATAGAACACAATCGCTGCATGGCACATCTCAATTCAGCACGGCGCAGCACATCACAGCCTTCGACACGGTACATCAAGATCGATACATTCAGCATTGCAGCCTGGCAAGTTCCTTAGCACGTTCGGGGGGGCGTCCCTTGTCGCGTCCCTCTGGCACGTCGCGTGGCGCGTCCCCTGGCACATTCCGTGGCACATCCATTGGCACGTTCCGTAGCGCGTCCCCTTTGCACGTCCCGCGGTGCGACCCCATGGTGCGACCCCTGGCACGTCGCCTGGCGCGTCCCTTGGGACGTTTCCGGCCGCGTCCTCCTGGCATGTCCCCCTGTCAATTCACTCTGGGGCAGCCACTATGTGTCCAGGGCAGCTCGAGCTTAAGATCCAGATCAGTTCGGTCAGGACTCGGATGCAAAGGAGGACTCGATCCACGACGCTATAGAACACAATCGCGGCATGGCACATCGCAATTCAGCACGGTGCAGCACAGCACAGCCCTCGGCAGGGTACATCAAGATCGATACACTCAGCATCACATTTGCCCGTCACCCAATCAGGTGTCTTTGAAAAACGCTACCATACGTTACATCTCTATATTCCTTTCCCGGTTCGTGGGTCGATCATGTTCGGGGCAGGGGATCGACTACAGAATTGGTTTACCGCAAAATTGATGATCTCGTCGGCCTACGGAAAATCCGTGGAATGATCTACGAGCGTTCTACGCATTGCTTGTACAGTCGACGAGAAAACCCATTTGGGGGCAAACCAATTCTGTAGTTGATCCCCTACTCGAGTTTTTTCGATTGCCGCCCGGTTTCGTTTGTCATTTGCAGGCCTCACTTTGACCATTCCTTCGAGCTGCCCGGCCGTGGCGACGGCGAGGGGGCCGCAAGGCTAAGCACAGGGAAAACGAGGTGGGGGGGAGGAGGAGGAGGCCGCACTCGCGAACAGAGGACCAGTCAGGGGACGAAGAGGCGAGGATCGAGGAGAGAGGAGAGAGGATCAAGCATCAAGGCTCGAGGATCGAGGGTCAAGGGTCGGGGCCCAGGTGCTGCCCTGTCGGAACTCCCCAGAGAGGCGCCCCCATCCCCCCCGCCCCCCTTTGAAGGCAGGCCAGCGAGGGCCATCGACGATCCACCACTTGTGCCGCCGCGGCGCGGCAGAAAGGCGAGCCGCTCGCGACCCGAGCCACTCGGGCTGCGGCGCTGCGAGTGGCCCCGCGTGCGCACAGAGGGGGGGGAGGGCCAGACGCGGGCCTGCCGCGGACGGGGGAGGCCGGGATGGGGGCGCCGGCGCCTCCGGGAGCGCGCGGGGCTGCCAGGCTGCTGGGCAGCCCTTGGCTAAGTCGGGCGCGGCCCCTTACGGGAGGAATATTCCGAAATAGTCAAACAATGTTCTTGGGACGATTTTTAGATATTTTGTTTAATTTTTTGAGCATTTGTGACATATTTTACATTTGTCGCTCAACATCCGGCGGCGTCGCGGGCGAACCCAGGGGCGGGGCTGGGCGCAGGGCGAGGGGTGCAGAGAGGCGGCAGCTGGAATGCGCGGTGTCGGGGGCGAAACTCAGCAGCGCACAGGTCGGCGAGGACGACTTCCTCCGCATCGTGGAGCAGAAGGCTCAGGTTCCCGAGCGGGGTGACGACGCAGTGGCGCGCCGCCGCTGGTCGCGGCCGAGGCGGTGGGACGTGCGCATCTGGAACGTGCGGATCGAGAACCTCACCGAGGAGAACCTGAACCACTTCGTCGAGTTCAAGTTCGGTGGGAGCAAGGATCGCCTCCCCCTCCCCCTCCTCTTGTGTCGACTAGACGTAAGAGTGACCTTTCGCCGGAGTGACCTTTGGTGCGGGCACAGATGGGCCCCCAGATGGCCGAACGCGAAGCGGTAGCAGCGGCTAGCGCGCCTGGATTTGGCCTCCCCGCCCCCCAAAGCCGCGCACCAAAGGTCACTCTACCCAGGGTCACTCTTACGTGTAGCCGATTGTGGGCCTCTCTGGTGCCGCGGCGTGAGAGCGCCCCCCTCCCTTCTCTCCGCCTTCCGCGGCCGCCCTCTTCTTCAGGAAGACAATGGTCGGGTTGGGAGGATGGGGCTGGGAGGCATGGGGATACCACGGCCCGTAGGCGGTCGAAGGCATCGCGCCTTGCATCCGAACGCTATTGCTCGTACCCTTCATCCTCCCAGCCCCTTCCTCCCAACACGACGATTGCTCCCCTCGCTGCTGGCCCTTCCCCCCCCCTTCCCCCCCCCTTCCCCCCCCCCCTTCGCAACGCCGTGACCCGGGTTTGCTCGACGCGCGAGAGAATCACCCCTTTGCCGCGCCGCGGCGGAGCAAACGTTCTGGGCCCCCTCTGGCGGGCCCCCTCGTGGCCACGGGTCGGCGCCGCTGCTCGGTCAAAATGATCCTGGCGAAAGGCCCAACCATATGCAGCTGTGGATGCCGCAGTTGTGGGTACCGCAAGCGCTGCACTGGGGGGGGGACGCATGCGGGCGGTAGCGCTAGGGCCGTCGGTGGAGCCCCCTTTATGGGGCCACAAAGCGCTGTACTGGACGGGTGAAAATGCCACGTTGGGTGTGTGGGACGCATGCGGGCGGTCCCACTGGGGGCTTCGGTGGAGCTCCCTATGGGGCCACGAAGCGGTGGGTGAAAATGCCACGTTGGGTGTGTGGGACGCATGCGGGCGGTCCCACTGGGGGCTTCGGTGGAGCTCTCTATGGGGCCACGACACATGTAGTGGGTGGGTGAAAATGCAAGTTGGGTTTCCAGACGCATGCGGACGGTACCACTGGGGCCTTCGGTGGAGCTCCGTATGGGGCCACGAAGCGCTGTATTGGGTGTGTGGGACGCGTGCGGATGGCAGCACTGGGAGCTTCGGTGGGGCTCCCTCTGGGGCCACGAAGCGCTGTACTGGGTGTGCTGGACGCATTTGGACGGTCCCACTGGGGCCTTCGGTGGAGCTCCGTATGGGGCCACGAAGCGCTGTACTGGGTGTGCGGGACGCATGCGAACGGTAGCACTGGGACCTTCGGTGGGGCTCCCTACGGGGCCACGAAACGTGTGAGGGGTGTGCTGAAGCGGGTGATAATGATGATAGTGATGGCGGAGGGAGGAGGAGAAGGAGGAGGAGGAGGAGGAGGAGGACAACGCGGGGACCGTTATTTCAAAACGAGGACCCAACACCACAGGATGATTGGGAACAACTTGTCACGGTGGGCCCCCTCGGAGGTGTCGTGGGGACGGGTCTAGGTCGGAGTTTTTGTGGGAGGCGCCCACTATTATACAGCGGAAGCTCCTGCCAAGAAGCACGCTGCTTGCCTCCAGGGTGCCCCCGTTTGTTTTGTGGATTACGAACGGTTTTGCTTTAGAGAGCTTGTCGTCTTCCCCACGACAAAAAAACAAATGGACGTCCTGGGGTCTCAGGGTTGGGTTTCTTGTGGAGGGTTTCTTGTGGTCGAGCTCTGGCCGGGCCGATCTTGGGCCCGGACGCCTGGATCGGGGCACGCGTATACGCCATCCTGGCCAGGCCAGCTTGGCCGGGCCAGCAGGGTGTGCCCACCGATTCTTGGCCCATGATGGGCATTCTTTCCAGGGCGGACGTACCCATCGGTCGCTGAAAGTAGGTATTTTTGGGGTCCCAGATCCCAATTTACTTTAAATGCCTTCCTACTTCAAAGATGTTCCTTCTTCTCTTCACGGGGTGGACGGAGATCCAACCTACTTCCAACGCCTTCCTATTCACGCTTCTACCTACTTCTTCCGACCGATGGGCAGGTGTATGGAGGGCGTTGTTCCAAAAGGAGGAGTTCATGGTCACCCCCAACAGCGGGGGAAAGCCGAGGCTGTGGGCCGCAGGGGTGGATGGCCTCGAACTGCGGACCCCCGTGGTCGAAGACGAGCCAGGCGACGGGGAGGCCACTGACACCGCCTTCGACGAGTCCTTCGAGTGGAGAGGATCTCTGCTGGACCTGGAGGAGCAGACGCTGCGCGTGGAGCTCTGGTGCCACTTCGCGTGGGGGGCGGCCAAGTTCGACTCCTTCCACCAGGCCCCCCTCAAGCAGTACGCCACGGGCTTCATCGCCAACGAGGTGGAGTGTAACAAGCTGACCGGCTCGGGCAAGTCCACACCCCGCGCGAAGATCTTCTTCAGCCTGATGTTTCAGGAGCTGTACAACTTCGAGCTGACGCTCGGCACCTGGCGCGCCTCTAGCCTGGAGACCTGCGCGGACGTGCTCAAGCTGGTCCGGAGGAAGTCTTCCGACTTCTCGGGCACGCAGTACGGGCGCCCCATTGGCACCGCGGAGGAGAGGACCGGGTTGCTGCGGCCCTCCGTGGTGTCCACGGGGACCGCCAGGTACCACGCAGTGGCACAGCGGCTCGACGTGACTCTGCACGCGAGGTCCAAGAATTGGCTGGAGCATCGCTGCCCCGCGCGCTGCGGCAGCATCGGCCTCTTCCGCTGGCTGGCAGACTGGCTGACTCGGCAGGTCTCCAGCTCGGTCTCCCCGCCGGGCCCCGTGGGCCTCGCCGAGTGGACGACCTGGCGGGGGGGCGACAACGTGTTCAAGATCAGAGGCACGGTGTCCGACCTGAACAACTCTTTTCTCGAGGCCGAGGCCATCAGGGACAACGATTGGGGGGGATAGGCACAGGGGGGGATGCATCGACCCACAATCGCCCATTGATCGCCGATTGGGGCCCGATAGCCCCAACCTGCCTAGTCGCCGATCTATCGGCGGTGTATCGCCGATTCCAGGTCGATGGTGTCCCCCCCTGTCCTTTATCCCCCCCCTATCGTTGCCCCTCAGGTCATGACCGCCGAGGTCCCCGAGAGCCTGGGCCTGGACAGCGCCCCCCCGGGCTCCCAGAGAGCCGGCTGCTGCTGCTGCCGCAGGGCCGCCTGGGTGCCCCTCGGCAAGGCAAGGTTGCCCCTGAAGGGGGTCCTCGAGCACGACGACCTCAAGGCGGAGTTGATCCCGGCACCCTGGTTGCACGCTGCAGGCGACGCCAGCAAAGCCCGAGAGCAGGTGTGTGGGCGGTTGCAGGCGCCCGTCAACGTAGGGCATCGCCCGGAGTACAAGCAGCGAGACGACATGATGGCCGAGGAGGTCGACCAGTCGAAGAGGTATTTGTTCGTGAAGGTTCTCAGGGTGGACATGGTAGTCACCCCAGACACGAGGCCTACCACTGAGATCGACACCTTCGTTGACGTTACCTTCGACGGCTCAACCCAGCGGACGCGCATCGTGCAGGACCGATGGAGAGGTGTATCGAACAGGCGCAGGCACGTTCCGCCTGCTTGTGTATCCTCCTCTCGTTCTCCGACCTGTGTTTTGTATCTTCCCCTTGTCAGGACGACGAGTCGCCAACTTTCAACGACGAGTTTTGCTTCGAGGTCGTGCTGCGAGGGGCTGCGGATCAGAAAGCGGCTGGCTCCGAGGTCGAGGATACCAAGGATATTGAGCAGTTGGAGGAGGGGGGAGTAGGAGATGGAAGAGTGAGTAGGAGGAGGGGAGGAGCCGGGAGGGAGGGAGGGCAGGAGGATGGAGGCATGAGCATAGAGCTAGTAGCAGGCAGGGTGGTCGAGGGAGGGTGGTACAGGGTGCAGGGCGGAGTGAGGAGAGTCTACAGGAGGAGGGGGCGGCGGAGGGAGCGAGTGACTCGTTGTGTAAGACCAGGTGGACTCGGACATCCCATGGCAAAGCAATCCATGCTCTCTGACGTGCTTCCGCGGCCCCAATGCTCACGGTGTGGGCCTCCCCCACCTCAGGACACGTGGGAGGAGATCGCGAGCAAGGGCCCGGTGCATTTTGACTTGTGGACCGAGGGCACCACCAGCAGCGAGCACCTCGGCGCCTGCGACTGCTTCTTGGCGGAAGTCCTCGTGAACGAGATGGGGGAGGAGCAGAAGCGCTGCGAGAAGTTTGCGAAGGACTCGCGTGGCAGGCCATTTCCTGTGACCACCCGCGCCTTCCGCGGCTCCAAGCGGCTGAAGTTTCTGTGGACGGGTGGCGCGGGTGGGCAGTCGAATCTATTCTTCGAGATGTGGTTCGTGCCCGACTTGGCCAAGGAGGCGAAGTTGCCGAAGAGGCGAAAGGAGCCCGTCTTGCCGGATCGTCTGAAAAGGAGGTTGAACGATTGCAAGCAGCAGTGGAAGGCCAAGACCTCTCACCTCGCGGTGGACTGCAGGCAGTTCCCTTTCTCGGTGCTGACGCAGTGGCAGATTGACGCGCTGGACGACAAGAAAGGGGAGCCAGCCCTGAACCTGCTGCCCTGCTTGCTGGACACTGTGAAGCCTCCGAGCTCTCTCGACAACCGCAACGCGGTGGCCGACTTCGTTGGTTGCATCCCCTACGCGCCCAAGAAGAACCAGCTGACGTACACTCCCGACTTCTTCTGCCTGTCGCGCAAGGGGGACTCCTTCGAGCACGCGCTGCTGCACGCGAGCTTGCTGCTCGGGCGCATGGAGAAGGCCTACGTCTGCCTCGGGACCGGCATGAACAGGGAGCGCCACGCGTGGGTGGTGACCTTCGAGGACGACGTTCCGGGCAGCATCACCTTCTGGGAGCCCTACATGGGCACTCGGCACGAACGGAATGGGTACGGAAAGAATGGGTACGATGCCCAACAGCAGTTCCTGTTCATTTTGAACAGGACTCGCTGTCCGCGCCGCCGCGGCCTGTGTCCATTTGAGACAGACGGCCGCTTGCCCAACAGCGGCCGCTGTTGGTTTGGGACAACATTTGTTGCTAGGCATCGTACCCATTCTTTCCGTACCCAGTTCGGGCGTCCAAAGGCACGGGCTCCTTCACCCGCCGCCGCCGCCTGGCGCACCCGGAGCTGCCCTCCCCCTCCGCCGACCTGAGCCCCGAGGCCGAGGCGGCGGAGCGGGATCGGCGCAGGCGCCTCGTGGTGCACCGGGCGGGCCTCAGGGGGGGCGACCTGGTGCTCGGGGGCGGAAAAGAGGGGGGTGGTGAGTAGGGGGGGGGGATATCATGGGGGGGGCCATGATATTTCCCCAGATTTCCTGGCGCCTCCTCTTATTTCATTACGTCCCTGGCCCCCCCGCTGGGCCGCGCACATGCCGCCGGTCATGTTTTGCACCCCCCCTCTGGACACCCCCCATCTTGGCCGCTCCCGAGGTGCTGCCGGCGGGGCGCGAGCACGAGCACGAGATGCTGTACTAGAGGAGCAAACAATGACATGAACATAAAAACTCGGAGGTCCGCGCGGATTTTCACCACCCACCAAACCACCCCAACCCAACCCGAAGGCTCAGATTTACCCTCGATTTCCAGTGTGGGGGTGTCGGGAAACATCCGACCCCCCAACCCGAAATTCGGGTCTTCGGGTTGGGTTGGGGTGGTCTGGTAGGTAGTCAGATTTCTCGGATCGGCGCTTGACCCGCCTCCCTGGCGCGCGGAGCGCGCCAGGGGGTGGCGCCGGAGGCGCCGCCAGGGGGGGTCCAGCACGGATCCGAGAAATCCGCGCGGAGCTCCGAGTTTTTATGTTTATGTCACTATTTGTTCCCCTATGTACGCAGACCGCTCGACGCCCGTGCCCATCCAGGGCGGTACTGAGTGCAGTCGGTGCCGCAGGAAGGGCTTCGCTCGCGGCTTCAATTGTCAGGAGTTCGAGTAGGGGATCGACGGCAGAATCGATGTACCCAGAAACGGAGTGCTTCGTCGGATCCATGCTATGTGCTGCGTCCTTTGTTGTCGATTCAGCAAGGAAAACAATTCTGGGATGAATCTACTCTGTAGTCGATCCCCTACTCGAGGAGTGCAGCCGCATCGTGTGCTGGGCCTGCTCAGACGAGCTGTGGGGCGACAGGTCCGAGCTCGACAAGATGGGCGACTTCGATCCAACAGGAGAGTGTCTTTTTCACCCTCTAGGCCGTAACGAGCGTCATGCCCCCTCCCCCCCTCTCCCAACCCATTAACGACGGATCTCTCCCCCCCTCAGCGAATCCCCGGCAATGCCGCCGTGCGTCCTGCACGACAGTTTGGGGGGTGGGGGGGGGGCGCTACATTAGGCCCCCTCCGGTCCCCCCCCGCCCCCTATGACGCCCGTTATGGCCAGAAATAAAAAATGCGCTCCAGTGCCCGTGGACTTTGGCGGCTGCGGCGGCAGCGACGCCCACGAGCGCCCTCTGCCGTACCGCACCGTGGAGGTGGTGTTCAACAACAAGAACTGCTGGGCGAACCTGCAGCACAGCAGCCCCGACCGGATCCTCTGGGATCTCTCGGACAGGACTCGAGAAGAGAAAACGGTACGAATATAACTGCTCGAAGTTCCCTGCGGATTTCTTAGACCGTCGCTGGGCCCCTTGCGTCGCCGCGCGGAGCGCGCCATGGTCGGCGCCGGAGGCGCCGCCAGGGAGACCCCAGCTCCGATCCAAGACATCCGTGCGCAGCTCCGAAGGTTTGCGTGAATGCAAGTGCTTCTTCCGCGCAGGATGTACTGGCACCCGTTCGCCGAGCGGAAGTTCTACGGCAAGGGCCTCGCCCCGTGCTTCCAGGGCTGCAAGTTCCCCGACGGCGGGCGCGACGGCGAGTGGGTGGCCGTGCAGCGGCGCGAGCTGCTGCAGGCCCTGCGCGCGGCCGTGCGCGCGAAGCGCTCCCACAAGAACCTCGACACCAGGCGGGCGGCGGCGACGGGGGCGGACACGTAGCCCGGGCAGCGGGGGGAGGACCCGTCCCGTCCTCCTCTTCCTCCTCCTCCTCCTCCTCCTCCTTCTGCGCCTCCTGCTCCTCCTCCTTCTCCTCCTCCTCCTCCTCCTCCTCCTCCTCCTCCTCGTCCTCCTCCTCCTGCGCCCCGGTAGTGGGGTGCCAGGGTTGGCTTCTCTGCAGGCGTGGCGCTGAGCTGGCTTTGGCCCAGGTTGGCGTGCGTCGCGCGTAGTCCTGCGGGTGCTGGGCATAGGCCTGGCGCCATTCGGGGGCTGGGCATCGGCTCGGCCCCTCAGCCCTGCATCGGCAACCGCTGAGCGTGGGCTTGGCGTGGCCAGCGAGCCAGGGGTCTCCTGGAGAGGCTCGTATCATCAGAGCACTCGAGGCCCTCCTTTTGCGCCTCCCGCTCCCCCCTCCTCCTCCTGCAGTGTGCTCGGGGGCGTCCACTAGAGGGGGGCGAGGGCCCTGCGGGTTGGGCGGACACCGGCGGCCGGGGCCGCGAGCTCTCCCCTGGAGCTCCCAGCCCTCGCTTCTGCTTTCTCGAGGCGCTCCCTTTGGGCCCCCCATCCCTCGGCCGGGCCCGCGCGCGCGCGCGCCGCGGGCCATGCATGGTCTGGGAGGGCGGGAGCACACACACGGGCACACAGAATCGCCGCGTCCTGCGGCTATATATATATATATATATATATATATATATATACATATGGCAAATCTGGGGAAGGGGAGGGGGAGACGCACATCCAGAGCACGTGGGAGGCGTGGGGGATCCTGGGACTTGTGTCTGTGTGCATCTGTGTCTGTGTATCTGTGTGTGTGTGTATCTGTGTCTGTGTATCTGTGTGTGTGTGTGTGTCTCCCTGGGCGCCTGCATGCGGTGAGCCAGCCCCCAGCTGCTTGCCCTCCTCGGCGCACCCGACCTTGCGCACACCCAGGGGCCGCCGTCTCCCCCATGTCTTCCGCGAGGCTCTCCGGCGAGTGCGTGTCGTGCCCGCCCCTGGGCTGTCCATCGGGGGCGGCAAAGAGGGGGGTGATGACTAGGGGGGGGTGGATATCATGGCGTGGGCCATGATATTTCCCCAGATCTTATGACGCCTCTTCTTAATTCATTACGTCCCTGGCCCCCCCGCTGGGCCGCGCACATGCCGCCGGTCATGATTTGCACCCCCCCCTCTTGGACACCCCCCTCTTGGCCGCTCCCGAGTCCACCTTTTGTTCAAAGGGGGGAGTACCGAGCATCCTCTTTGGGCGGAGGCTCGGCGTCGCTCGGACATGTGCCTTTTTCCTTCGGCGAGGACCATCGAGGAGAACCCTTGATCATTTGGCCCAAAACAAAAAACCACGCACGAAACCAAAAAAACACAGGGAATGGACGTCCGAGCGATGGCCAGGAGGGGAAAGGGGGAGATCTGAAGTGCCGCTTCGACCGATCTTCGAGCTTTGGATCTGAGAAAGGGTGCATCGCAAGACGGAGTGAGTTTCGAGGCGCTTGCAGTCGACCCGGATTAGTAGGTCGACCCTGTCAAATCAAGGGTACCCTCGTGTCCTGTGTCTCGCGACCCGTGCCTCCTGCATTTCTGCCGCAATGTGGCCCCCGGAAGGGTCTTTTCTCCTCTCGCGTGTCCTGTCCAATGAAGTCCGACTGTACTAACAATCCAACCAGTATTGGGCGTTTGCTGAACAGTCATGCCCTGGTTCGATCCCGTCTCTGGGTGCGTTTACTGAAGGCTTCGCTCGTCGGGGTGCTTCTTATCCAGGAGGGACAAAAAACACAGAGACGCAATGAATCGTCGAGTCCCTGGAAAATGCGGGAAACTATGGGAACTGGGGGGAAGACAAAAACCCAGAAACTATGTGCATCGCAAGACGGATTGAGTTTCGAGGTGCTTACGAACAATCAAAACAGCATTGAGCGTTTACTTAGCAGTCCTGCCCTGGTTCGATCCCCTTCCCTGGGTGCGTTTACTGAAGGCTTCGCTCGTCGGGGTGCTTAGCAATCAGGAAGGACAAGAACACACAGAGACGAAATTAATCGTCGATTCCATAGAAAATATGGGAAATATGGGAAGGGGGGAAAACAAGAACCCAGAAAATATGGGGAACCATTCGGGAATATGGTTATTTGTCTTTTCTTTGTGTGTCCCAGTTCCCCTCTGTTTTTGCCTCCGCCGACCAGGTGGTTGCGGATATCTGGCCTCGAGAGGTTCCTTGGAGCAGGCCTGAGGCTGCGGGCAAAGGTCGATGTCGCCAGGGAGTCCGAGGTGGCGAGGCTGCGCGAGCAGTATCTCCTGTGGGAGCGAGCTCTGAAGGCGAAGGTGCCCGCGAGGCACAAGAGCCGTGCAATGACCTTCCACCTGAATTTCTACGACCCAAGCGCGGTGTCCAACCATGTCCTCAACCTCTGCATGGACAGCGACCCCTCGTTCCTGGAGTGCCGCCAGAAGTCGACGCAGTTCGACGTGGCCGTCCACCTCAGCGCACTGCCGGCGGCGGCCGTGTCGCTCTACGTGTGCGTCTGGCAGATGCACGGCCTCACGGACATCGAGAAGGACGACGAGCTGGCCCGCCGACAGAGCCGGCTCGGCGGAGCTGCCCCCCCGCGCCCCCGCGCCCTTGCGCCCGAGCCCGCCTCGATGCCGCAGCGGCCAGAGGTGTCGGAGCAGCCGCCCGCCTCGCCAGAGAGGCCCAGGAGGGGGCAGCTGACGGGCTTCGACGAGTGCCTCTGCGGCAAGTTCGTCAGGGTCTCCGGCGACGGCGGGAGCCCCACGGCGGCAACGTACGTGGGCTCGAAGCAGGATGGCAGCTACCACTTCCACGGTGGCGTCATCGGCAATGGCCCGATCCCAGGCTCCTCAGAGGGTAAGTATCCATCAGCCTGCGGCAAGCCCCGCCACCGTGCCTTTGCAACAGCGCTGCAGGAAGGAGATGGAGTGTAGGCAAAGCGCAATTCCGACAAGTGGAGGAGGAGGAGGAGGAGGAGAAAGGAGGAGGAGGAGGAGGAGGAGGAGGAGGAGGGGGAGGAGGAGGGCATGGAGGAAATGAGGACGAAGAGAAATAGCTTCTTGGAGCCCTCTTGGGGCCTCCTGGGGGCTTTCTTGACACATCCTTGAGAGCCTCTTGAGGGCCTGCCGGGGGCCTCCTGGGGCCTCTTGTGGGCTTCTTGGGGCACCTTGGGCCGTCTTGGGAGGCGATTGGCCCGTCTGGCGCCTTCGGAGGCCGTCTTGAGAGCATCTCTGGGACGTCTTGGTGCTCTCTTGAAGCGCTCTAGGCCCGTCTTGCGGCACTCTTGGAAGGCTGTTGGGCGATCTTGGCGTCCTTTTGTGCCGACTTGGGGCCCACTTGGAGCTATGTTGGAGGCCTCTTGGGCCGGTTTGGGCGATCGGAAGCCCAAACAGGCGAGCACCTCAGAATCTTTCAAACATCTAAGAGAAATAAATGCGTGTTGCTTTGTCGGGCCCTATTGGAGGGCTCCTTGGAGCCCTCTTCGGGCGTCTTGGGAGCCTCTTGAGCTGTCCTGAGCCCGTCTTGGCAGCCTTTTGAGCCGTCTTGGGCCATCTTGGCCCGTCTTTGTATCATCTTCACTACCTTGGAAGCCGTCTTGAAGGCCATCTTGCCCGCTTGGAGGCCGATAAGACCGCTGGTGGCCAATTTCAGAGGAGGCGATTTTCAAAGCACCTGCGTGATGAGGGGGGGGTCGGCCTTAGAACACATTTTGAACCTTGAAGACAACAGCACGCATTCTAACAGGCCCACTCCGTGCAAGCACAGGCGGATTTTGAGGTGCGTGTCACCCGCGTCGGGGAGGGCCATGATGATGGTATGGCCATTGGCGTGACTACGATGCCGCTGGACAGCATCGAGAGTATGCCAGAGATGATGTATAAGCTGTGCCCCAGCTGGCTTGCGGGCTTCAACGGTGCACTCAGCGTAAACACTGCATCAGCTGACGAGTGGCACGACATCGCCTGGCAGCCTCAGAAGCTGAAGCAGGGCGACACTGTTGGCTTCCTCGTGTCGCACCCAGGAGTGGCGACCGTGTTCTTGAACGGCCAGGTCGCCGCCAGGTGGCCGAGCTCCCCGGCCCTCCGCGCCTACATCCCGTGCGAGGGGCCTCTCTACCCCGTGGTGGACCTGGTGGGCAACACCGACGGCGTGGAGCTGCTGTTAGATGGGAGCCCGCCAGCCCAGGCACAGGCCGGACGGGGCCAGGACGAGGAGAAGTCCGTGCCGGTGCGTCCCGGAAAGCTCTGAGAATGCCGCGGCGCCCGAGACCTCCCCCGGAGCCGCGGGATCCCAGAAATGCTCGATCTGGCCCCCCCCCGATGTTTTTGTCCTCGTCCTGGATCCGTCCAAGCGAACCGAGCGCGTCTCACTGCTCGCAGCAGCGCCTGCTCGCGAACGCCCAGAGAGCACGCGATTGCCTCGACGCCATGCATCGCGGCTCCCCCGCGGCGGGTCCGGGCCGCTCGCGAGCAGCTGCTCTGCGGGCAGTGGCGCGCGCTCGTCCACACACGAGGCGGCCAGCCCGAGCCTGCCGCCACAGCCACGGGCGGTGGAGGCGGCCAGCCCAGGCCTGCCGCAGCCTCAGGGGGATGCCTCGGGGCCGAGGGGTGCGACGCCAGAGGCCCCTCCTCCTCCTCCCCCTCCTCCTCCCCCTCCTCCCCCTCCCTCCTCCTCCTCCTCCTCCTCCTCCTCCTCTCCTCCTCCTCCTCCTCCTCCTCCTCCTCTCCTCCTCCTCCCACTCCTCCTCCCCCTCCTCCCCCTCCTCCTCCGCCTCCTCCCCCTCCTCCTCCGCCTCCTCCGCCTCCTCCGCCTCCTCCTTCTGCGAGGGCGGCTTCAGCGCGCAGGCGCGGGGCCAGTGCGTGCGCCTCTCTCGCGACGGCCTCCGCGCGACGCACGAGGGGCTGGCCACGGACCGGAACGGCGTGCTCGTCGGCGCCGCCCCGCTGCCGCCCCTCGCCGGCGGGGGCGTCTTCTTCGAGGTCCGCGTGGAGGAGACCCGCACGGGCAACCCCGACGGGCTGGCCTTGGGCGTGACGGCGGCATCTCCAGCGACGCTGGCC